CTCTGGGGGGCGAGAACCAAGGGGTGGGGAGAGCCCTGGTGGGGCACTGTTTGGCCCCAGTGTGTGGGGGGTTTTGGGGTAGCCATGCCAGGGTTGGGGTGGTCTCACCTTGTCTCTCCAGAGCTGCCCTCCCATACTTGATGAATTTCTTCATGTGGTCAACACAGGTGACATTGAGCAGGTGCTGCAGGGTCACAGAGAAGCCAGTGAAGGTGTTGAACTGCCTCTCAACTTGCGCCGCCAGCTCACTCTCCTGCTTCCTCTCCCAGCGGCTGTTGTCCACGTCAAAGCTGAGGAAGTCATGGGCGTTGAAGGCGAGATGGAAGAATTTGGTATAGGAGCCATTGGGATACAAGTCGCAGCCAGCCATGCCCTGGAACACAAAGGGATCTGGGGGGACAATGGGCGTCACGACTGCAGCCCGAGCTGGAGCTGGAGCCCGAAATTGCTGCCTGGCCCCTGCTTCACTGGGCACAGCCCTTTCCCCCAGGGAGAAGACACAAAAGGCCAAACCTCAATTAGAGTTGAAACTGGCCAGTGTTGTGTCAGACAACAAGAAAGGCTTTTTAAAGTGCGTTAATAGCAAGAGGAGATTTAAAGAAAACATTGGACTGATACTTGTTGAAGATGGTCACCTGACTAATAGGGATGAAGAAAAAGCAGAAGCATTCAATGCTTTTTTTCCTCAGTCTTCAATAATACTGGTAGACCTTGGACTTCCAGTCTTCTGAGTCACAGGACCACGACTGCAGGAACAGTGACTTTCCATTTGTGGACACTGAAATTGTAAGGGACCAGCTGTATCAGCTGAATGTTCACAAGTCCGTGGGGCCTGATGGGATTCACCCCAGAGTATTGAAGGAGCTAGTGGATGTTATGGCAGGACCCCTCTCGATCGTCTAGCAAAGGTCTTGGGAGTCTGGGGAGGTCCCCGCTGACTGCAAGCTAGCCAACATTATTCCAGTTTACAAGAAGGGTGTGAGGGAAGACCCAGGAAACTACAGACCTGTTAGTCTAACCTCAGTACCTGGAAAAATTATGGAGAAGATCATACTGGGTGCTATTGAAAGGCATTTAAAGGATAATGCAATCATCAGGCACAGTCAACGTGTTCACAAAGGGAAAGTCCTGTAACTAATCTGATATCCTTCTACAATAACATCAGCCACCTCATGGGTGAAGGGAAGGCGGTGGATATAGTTTTTCTGGATTTTAGTAAGGCTGTTGATACTGTCCCTCACAGCATCCTTCTGGACAAGTTGTCCAACTGTGAGATGAGCGGGTTCATGGTGAAGCACTGGGTGAAGAACTGGCTGAAGGGCAGGGCTCAAAGGGTTGTAGTGAATGGGGCTACACCTGCACCTGGGACTGGACACAAATATAAACAGGGAGGGGAGTGGCTGGAGAGCAGCCCTGTAGAGAGGGATCTGGGGGTGCTAGCTGGCAGCAGGCTCAGTAGGAGTCAGAATTGTGCCCTGGCAGCCAAGAGGGCAAACCGCATCCTGGGGTGCATCAAACACAGCATGACCAGCCGGTCAAAAGAGGTGATTTTCCTGCTGTATTCAGCGCTGGTGCGGCCTCACCTTGAGTACTGTGTGCAGTTCTGGGCCCCACCGTTTAAGAAGGATGTGAAGGTACTAGAATGTGTGCAGAGGAGGACAACAAAGCTGGTGGAAGGACTGGAAGGAATGTCCTTGAAAAGCAGCTGAGGACTCTGGGCTTGTCTAGTTTGGAGAAAAGGAGGCTGAGGGGCAACCTCATTGCTCTCTACAGCTTTTGAGGAGGGGATGAAGAGAGGGAGGTGCTGATCTCTTCTCCTTAGGATCCAGTGACAGGACACATGGGAATGGTTCAAAGCTGCTTCAGGGCAGATTCAGACTGGACATTAGGAAACTTTTCTTTACAGAGGTCGTCAATGCTCCAAGCCTGTCAGTGTTTAAGAGGCATTTGGACAATGCCCTTAATAATTTGCTTTAACTTTTGGTCAACCCTGAAGTGGTCAGGCAGTTGGACTGGATGATCGTTGTAGGTCCCTCCAACTGATCTATTCTATTCTATTCTATTCTATTCTATTTTAATTTTCTATATTCTATGCTATTCCCCCATGTCGCTGCTCTGCTTTACGCCAGGTGGAAATTCTGCGGGTGAGAAACCTGTCCTGAGCCCTGTAGCTCGTCGTCCTTGAGCTGCCCCTGCCCACAGCAGGGTCGAGAGCCACAGCAAAGCGGGAAGTACTGCTTTGGGGGAGTGACAGGACATGGGGTGCAGACAACAAGGAGGACAGTGGCACTCTGCCCAGCGCCCTCCTCTTGGTTAACCAACGCTGCACCAGCACTTGCTCCATTTGTCCCATCCCACAGATATGAGCAGAGAGGCCCCTTTGACCTTCTACTCCACTTTCTCAGATGACTTCTTTGGTGGGATTTGGAGTGCCCAGAGAGCAATAGGGGCGGGCTGGTGTGAGGGCATAAGTGGAGCTAAACATGGCCAAGGTTTGTGCTGGGGACCAGGATGGCCCCATGTGACCTACACAGGTCAGGGTGGGTTTGGGGGTCTTGCTGGTGCAGGATGAGGCCCATTCCCTGCCCTCCTGCCAGCCCCAGCTTGGGAAAGCTGTTGGTGGTGGCTCTGAGCTCCTTCTCACAGCTCCCTGCCTTGGGCGAGGAGGTGCTGAGCACCTGGTACTCACAGGGTGTCTGGTACAGCCTGGCATCACCGGACATGGACAGGTTGAAGTTGTGCATGTAGATCCTGAACAGGTTTTGCAAGTTCTCCCACTCTACTGCTGGCAGGGCCGGGTAGACCCATGGCTGGAGGTAGAGGATGTTCCAGGTGTATTTCTGCAGGGTAGCAAAGACGATGTCCTCCAGGGTGGCCCAGGCCAAAATGTCCACAAAGCTGGTGTTGTGGAAGACGGAGGTTTGGAAAAGATGGAGTTTACAAGAGCCTGTGGGGAAGAGGGGGGAGAGGAAGTGGCATTGGGGTGCATGAAGATGAAGGAGGAGGTCAGGGGACTACCGGCTCCAGTGCTAGTGGGCGGCCCCAGGAGGAAGGGTGGCTTGTGATGTCCCTGGGGACAGGCAGGGCGAGATGGGACAGACCGGCAGGGCGGGGGAAATCCCCTGGTTTCATTCGGTTTGCAGGTTCCTTCCATGGCCTCTCTGAACCTCTCCTTGCTTTTCCTCTAATTTCCTGGGTTTTAGCCATCCACTGCCCCAATGTCACATTCTGGGAGCTGTCAGTTAGCCGTGTGGAAGGGATGGCAGGGGGACCTTGGTGCTGGTTTGGGGTGATGCTTCCCCCAGCAAGGAGCACCTGTGCCAGACCCGGATCCACTGGAAACCTGCACACAGTGCAGGGGCTGGGGGGGCTGGGAGGGAGGGGCATTTCACCCCAGTTTAGAGGCTCAAGATCAAACCCTAACAGGAGGCAGGAGACTGAGTTCGATGCTGCAGTGCTGAATGAGGCTCCGGTAGTAAGCAGGGCACAGTGAAGCCTGTTTTGGAGCGGTGGGTGCCCCCCCTGGCCAGGGGGTGGTGAGCACCTGACCCCGGAATGGGAAACACAGGGTGGGGATGCAGGTGAAGGCTCGTTGTAGCTGCAGAAGGAACCTTCAAGCATTGTTTCACCGGGGAAGAATGCAGAGGATCCAGGGACCCTTCGACTGCAAGAGATATGATCCTGCAGGCTGAGGGCAGTGCCCAGGACCTGCTCAAGGGGTTGGAGACCAGTGGAGGGCTGGTGTGGCATGCTGAGAGCCCCTGCTGCCACAGGCTCCCTGCAGGAGGAAGGCATCTTTGGGATTCCCCCCCAGGCCTGGCTCCCTTTGCCCCTTGGCTGCTCAGATGCCTGAACCCCAGCGCCCAGTGGTGCTGGGCTGGGCAGGATGGTGTGGGGCAGGGAACCCTGAGCAGGTGGGCAGGAATGGGGCACCTTTGGGTGCTGTGGGGTAGGGGGTCACCCCTTGGTGTTAGGGACAGTGGCCAGTCTGTGCCCACTCACTGCCACCTCTGTGGGGTCCCACAGTGCAGGGATGGGAGCAGGTGGGGGTGAGCCAGGGATCTCACTTACCCTCTGGATGTGCCCACGTCCCAGGGAGGAGGAGGAGAAAGAAGAGGAGGAGGACGAGGCGAGGGGGCTGCATGGTGCCAGCAGCAAGTGTGCCGGAGCAAGTGTAGCAGGAAGAGGAAGTGGCCATCGGAGCCGTGACTGCACACTTCTCCCCAGGGCTGCTCTGCCTGGGCAGCTCTGGTGGTGCCAGTGTGATGGGGCGGCCCCAGAAGCCAATGAGGCTGGTGCTGAGGTTTTGGGGAGGGCCTGGCCGGGCGTGTTCCCCAGGGGGAGGTTGTGTGGCTGGCAGAGGGCTGGGCTGGGGCACTCTGGTGGGTGGCTGCAAGTGCCAGGGAAATTTGGGTGGCTGCAAAGTTATCCGTCCTGGCTGCAGGGGACATCCCTCCTGGCTGCAGCAGCACCCAGACACCTGAGGAGATGTAGGCTGAGCCCAGCCTGTGGTGGCCTTCACCTCCTCCCATGGTAACCCCCAGGGATTTACTCTGTAAACCCCTGGCAGAGAGTATTGGGTTTACATGGCAAAGTTTTGGTAGCAGGAGGCCTGGAGGGGTGGCTTCTGTGAGAAGATGCCAGAAGCTGCCCTCATGTTCAACAGAGCTAGTTCCAGCCAGGTCCAAGACAGACTCGCCGCTGGCCAAAGCTGAGCCAGTCAGCGATGTTGGTAGTGCTTCTGTGATAACATATTTAAGAAGGGGGAAAAACTGCTGCAC